GTTGATTGTGGTGATGAGGTCGTGCGCATAGACACGTCAGAACTTACCAAATCATATCCTGTACGTGTGTGAGCTTTACGTCACCTTTACAATGAAGATAGGTACTCTTGGAGTTAGGGTTACGTGTCAACTTGGCTGGGCCTGGCTGAGTGGCTGGGTAGCCGGATGTAGAAGTATTTCCCATGATGAGACTGGTAATCAACTCCATGGTGGAAACTATTGTGAGCAGCTGAGTAGCTGCCTTAGGGATGTGGTCTGCTTCCTGTACATAAGGAGACAGCTTTGAGAAAGGGCTCTGTAGCTTTTTGGCATGCTTGGACCCTACATATAGCCAAGTCTTCCGTCAACAGCCTGCCATGTTTCCTGTTGATCTTGGGACTGTCTTTGGACTGGAACTAGTGGCCTGCTGGGTAGTTTGTTAATCTTAGGACTGTGCCATTTTATTTGTTGACCTTGGGTTTGTCAGCCTCAGCAGCCAGCAGCTGCCTGAGTGAAGAAAGCCTCCAGCTCCAGTGGGCTGGGAGCAAGAGGCAGAGCTGAAGCCCAAGGTGGAGGGGCCTTCACCCAGTCTCTAGAGCTGGCACTTTGAACTTGGACTTCCAGCCTTCTAAACTGTAAGAGAATAAACTCCTGTTGTTAAAGCCACCCACCCACTTGTGGTACTTTGTGTTAGAGCAGCATTAGAGGACCAAAACTGTCACTGAGCAGGTCCCTGACCAATGGTGACCCCACCCATGCACATAGATTCATCCATCCATCCATCCACAGCCCTGGCAGTCCTGCTAATTTAATTGTTCTGAGATTTTTTTCTCCCAGATCAGGGCAGGCGCCTGGCTGGCTGGTGGGCATGATCTGGGGCCTGTCCTTCACTCACCCGAAGCTGGCAACCTGGCCCAGGGAGGTGATAAGCCCTAAGGTCTCCACTCAGAATACTGCCCCCTCCCAGGCCCTGGGCAGCTCTGATGACCTCAGCACCCCGGCAGGCCCCCGGCAGCAGCTGTAGGCAGTGCCCCGGGTGGGTGGTCTGTTGGGACAGGGGGAGCTTCAGCTCCTGGCTCTCAGGGGGGCTCAGTGGGAACGTGCTCAAGGACACAACTCTTGGGGCTGCAGGAGACATGCTGTAGCTGCCACTGGCCTCAGCACCAAAGGGTCGTCTTCAGCTCGGTGCTGTGAAGCGCACAGTAGGGCAGGGGCCACGACCCCGGAGCTGGGCCCGTCCCCTCCTCCCGGCCCTGCAGTCCTCTGCTGTGGGCTCTCTCTTCAGGCAGCTCCAATTTCCCAGCAGCTTGCATCTCCCAGTTTCAAATCTGAAAGAGAATTTCTTTCCCTAACAGAGTCCTGAGCCCGACCATGCTGGCCCACAATGGACCTTCCACCCATCTTGGGGGCTGAAAAGACGTCATACCAGTCAGGGCAATGGCCTCCTCTGGGAAGGAGGTCTGTCTGCCTCACCTGCAGGGCTGAGGACAAGGGAAGAGGGCGAGGGGAAACGTGGGTGCTGAAGGGGCACCCACACTCCCCGATGGCAGCCTGGAGGTACTGTGCCATCCGAGGGGCCCACAGTCTCCCAGGACGTGGACACCCACACAGCCGACCCATGGGAGCCTTGCCTCGCTGGCCCCCCTCGAGCCAGCAGTGGAAAGCTGAGACCTGAACCTGGCCCTGCCACCTCCCAGCCCAGGGCTGGGCCCACTCCCCAAGCTGCCCATCAGAACCTCAACTGTTCAGAACCAGATGCCACCCAGGATCAGCGGCAGACTGCACTGTGGGAGTGCAGGGTGTTCTTAAAACTTTGTTGTTGTGCCTAAAGGACATGGCGGTGACACCTTCCGACCTCTAATTTCACAAGAAGACAGAATCGCCATCGGCAACCCAAGGCTTATTCCTGAGGCCAGACATGCTGCCACCCTTCAGCCTTTTACCAGTTCTGACACCAGCCATTCCCCCCCCCCCCAGCACTCACTACTTCTCTGCTGGGTGTGACAATTCATTGCAATGGCCACAGCGAACTCACAGACAATACTCATGACTATGGGGTTTATCAGGGAAGCAAGAGGCCACAATTCAGGTTCAGGAATGTGCTCAGGATACAGTTCTTCAATGAGGACAGTCTCCCCTCTGCTGTGCCCTCAGGCACGCCTCTCCGGCCCTTGGCCTCTCAGCCTGGCCTCTGCCCTGCTTGGCAAGCGGTACAAAGCTCTTTAGCTCGGCCGGGAGGCGCACCGAGGTGCAGTCCGCTCCACCGGCGAGGCTCCTGCCCACGGGCACCCAGCTTTCTCACTCTGTGGGCCAGTACGCCCGCCGCTCTGCCTCCTGCATGGGGATGAGGTGGAGCGGGTGGTGGTGGCGGCAAGGATGTGCTGTTCAGACAGCCTGGACTTTCTGTCTGTTGCTGGGGACCATCGAGTTGATTCCAACTCACAGGGACCCGATGGGACAGAGTAGAACTGCCCTTAGGGTTTCCGAGGCTGTTCTCTTTACAGGAGTGGAACGCCATGTCTTTCTCCGACAGAGCTGCCGGGTAGGTTCGAAACCCAACCTGTCAGTCAGCAGCTGAGTGTTTTACCACTGTGCCACCAGGGCTCCTTGAGCTTGTTGAGGGTGAGGAAAGGTCTGAAAGGGACCGTGTTGCTGGCTGCACGTGGTGAACACAGCCCATGTTACTGAATGTGAAATGCTGACATGGCAGTTTTGTTACACATATTTCGCCACAATAAAACGTTTTAAAAACTAAAACCCAAAGAGCATGTTTATGCAAACATCACGAACACTTCAGCAAGCGCCATTTTCCACTTCCTTTTATTTCCGGGCCAGCATAAGAACAAGGGCCAGGACCACAGGAGGCCTCTTGGTTAGAACTGGGGGGGCAGGGCCTGGAGTCTCCCCCAGCCCTGCACCTCCCCCACACTCCCAGTTTGCCAGTGGGGAGGCGGGGTGACGGCTTTAGAAGCAGTGACAACAGGGAACAGCTGTCCTCTGTCCTCTTCCTGGCCCTCCCGCATGGGGCCATGTCCCTGGGAGTTGAGCCATGAGTTTGGTTTCAAGGAGCGGCATGGGACTCAGGCCAACACAGGCCAATGCAATCACCACGGGACCAGCTGCCTGGACCACAACTGACCCACTGGGTGGGCTGCAATGATGTGCCTGCCTTCCCAGGGCCAGAGGGCTAAATGTCCCCACAGGATCCCTGACCCCAGAACCGGCACTTCTGCCTCTGACCCTGGAAAATGGTTCTTGGAGGGCCAAGCATCAAACCCTGTGAGTCACATGGGGGATGGCAGTAAGTGTGGATGCCAGGACAAAGGAAAGGGGGCACGGGGGCCTGGAAGAACCCCTATCTTCCCAGCCCTGGCTTGGACACGGGGGCGTGGCTAACAAACCCCAGCTTTGTGACCGATCTCCCGTCCACCCAGCCTGGCCCGCTGAGCCTCGCCATGGCATCAAGGAAGGGCCTGCTGCCCGTCCAGCGGGGGGGCCAGGCTCTGCTGGCTGCCTCGGAACCCTGAGGTCCAGCCCCGCTGCCTCCCCAGCCCTCCTGGACCAGGACCCAGGGCCTCAAAGTCCTGTCCCCAAATGGGCACGTGGCCTGCATGGGCCCTGACCACAGCGGAGGGACTGCAGCAGAAGGTGGGGCTCCTGAGGCACTAGGAGCCAGAGGAGAGAACACAGGCCTGCTCAGGCCAGTGGAGCCGGGGGTACAGGCTCAGAAACCAAGATGCCACTCTGAGGACTAAGGAGAGCCTGACCAAACCACAGTCTATTCAACTGACTCGCATGCACGCAGAAGCTGGGTGGTGACCCATACAGACAGAAACGGCACACCTGAATTATGCTGGCAAAGAATATGGAGTATTTCATGGACTGCCAGCAGAACAAACAAATCTGTCTTGGAAGAAGTTGTAACTGGAATGATGCTTAGAACCAAGGATGGCAAGACTGTCCCTCGTGCTGTGGACTTCCTGTAAGGAGGGACCTGTCCCTGGAGCGCATCACTTGGTTAAGTGGAAGGTAAACTGAAGAGGAAGCCCCTCAGTGAGACGGATGGACACAGGGGCTGCCACGATGGGTGGCTGCTGCAGGGCCAGGCAGTGTCCCACTGTGCTGCACACACGGTTACTGAGCTGGGACCAACTCGATCAACAGAGATGTCACCGAGGCAGCTGTGAAGGGGCTGGGGGAGCCTTAAGGCTGCCCTCCGTGCAGACAGAGCCTCCGGGGCTCTCCTCAAGGGCAGGAAAGGCCCAGAGCCGCACGCCCACCAGCAGCCTGCCCTGGTGTGAGTGTCTCTCCCCCAAGGGCCTGCAAGGTCTCTCCTTGTCCTGGCTTTAGATCCGACCCACCAGGGCTGCAGGCGACAGGGAGACTGCACCCGCTCCTTCAGCCACTAGGGGCTCCAAGGGGTGCCCCAGCTTTGAGTCTCTGAGGGTCCAGGCATGGCCCTCAGTTGGGCAGAGTGGATCTGAGAAGGAGAGGACTTTTCTGGAACCGCGTCAGGTGAGACGTGCCCCTGGCAGCAGTCTCCCCCCGGGCTCCTCCCTTGGAAAGCAGGGCCCAGGCCAACAGGACAGGGTGTGGAGCCCACGCACACACTCGGTGCACAGGTGGTGCTGCAGGCAGGTGGAAACAGGTCTGATCTCCAACAACATTAAGGGTTTAATAGAAACACCGGAGTGTGATTCCGGCTGTAACAACCCCCGTGAAATGGTCTGTGATAGAAAAGGCAGGGACTCAGGACACCGGGAGGCCTCCCTGTCCCCCTTCTCTTGAACGAGGACTTTGCTGGGAAGGGGAGGGGTTAGTGCAAGAGAGGAGCCTTGACCCCTCTGGACATCTCAAGAGCAAATCTTTCTAACCCAAGTTTCCCACTCAGGTTTTGAAGCCTGGATAGCACAGATGCCGAGAACAGCCCTGTTCCTGCCAGGCACCACGCTGTCCAGCCTGGGAGCTCAGGTGCTGGGCCACATGGGCCATGCTGCTCAGTCCTCAGGGGTCACCGGGAGCTCAGCAGGCCGGCGGCTCACTGCCCTCCACGGGCAGCCCTTTGCTCAGGAGGAAGGCATCCTGCCTAGGCTCGCGGCCCAGGAAGAGCTTCAACATGGCGCTGGCGTCCTGGGAGCCACCGGGTCTCAGTACGCAGCTCCGGTAGTCCATGCCCACCTGTGGAGATGGGGAGCTGGAGCCGGCAGGCAACTGAAGGGTTCTCCAGGCCCTCTGGATGGCTGCTGGGGTCACAGGCCCTTCCCTGCCCAAGGGCCCGCAGCAGTCACGGCCCCTTCCCTGCCCGAGGGCCCGCAACAGTCACGGCCCCTTCCCTGCCCGAGGGCCCGCAACAGTCACGGCCCCTTCCCTGCCCGAGGGGGCCCGCATCAGCATCATGGCCCCTTCCCTGCCCAAGGGCCCGCAGCAGTCATGGCCCCTTCCCTGCCCTAGGGCCTGCAGCAGTCACGGCCCCTTCCCTGCCTGAGGGGGCCCAGCAGCGTCAGGGGCTTGGGGAGTGGGGCTTGGACCAGGGTCCCAGAGAAAAGAGGGAGGGAGAGGTGGGGAAAAGGAACAGAGTACACAAAAGTGTGTATGTACACACGCATGTGTACACGTGTATGTCCATGTGTATCTGTGTGCAGGTGTTGTGTACATATGTGTATAAATACATGTCTATGTACACAGACCAGGAGCTCTGGTGGCATACTGCCTAAGGCACTTGACTGCTAACCAGAAGGCTGGCGTTTCAAACCCACCAGCCACTCCTCGAAAGGAAGGTTGGGCAGTCTACTTCTGTAGTGATACCTCCTCGGAAACCCAAGGAGGGTCACTATGAGTCGGATCCAACTCGACGGCAGTGTGTTTGGTATATACACAGACCAGCACAGCTGGCTCTTGGCCTATGACCCCTGGTGGAGCCCAGATCCAGAGGAGTAAACAGGGAAGGAAAGGGGCCGTGTAGGATCTGCCTGGGACACAGCTGGGCACTCAGGTCACACCCCACCACACACACACACAGATGCTGCACCCAGGCTGGTGGCCAAGTATGGGCTGCACTTGGTCACAGACAGCAGGGACCATCATTCCAAGCCACAAAAGCCACACTGGGGCCTGATCCCCTCCAGTGAGCCCCTGGCCCATGCAGGGTCCCTGCCGCAGCAGGGTGAAGGGGGATGGAGTATACGGTGCCTCCCATCCAGTGAGCCCCTGACGGGGTGAAGGGGACGGAGGGTACAGCACCTCACCTTGCCATTGAGGACGCCTTCCTGCTTGAAGCGAGTGTGGAACATGTCCATGGAGTAGACCTCACTCCACAGGTAGCCGTAGTACTGGGCATCATAGCCTCCTGCCAGGTGGCCAAAGGTGGCCGGCATGTTGGTGCCTGGTGGGAGGGGGACAACAGTGAGGCCCTCCCTGGCCCTCCTTGTCCAGGAGACCTCCAACCCGGGAGAGGAGAGAAGGTTCTAGGCTGCTGGCTCGGCCTGTGAGAGCAGGAACAGGGTGAGAACGTGTGCAGAAAGCAGGGCCTGGCAGTTAACCAAAGGAGGAAGTCGGCCTTTTGGCCTCTGCTTAAGAACAAGGCTGACCCTACGGCATCTTACACAACGACATCAGCTGCCATGACGTTCAGAGGATGCTTTATGAGTCAGGGCACACACACCTACGCATCCTTCCAACTGTTTCAGAGGGTTTCTTAAACGGTTATGAAATGCTGGATGAGGCCAACGCTGCATACGGATAACCCCGGTTACCTTCTGCCCGAGCAACTGCAAACATGTACACATGCACGCACACGCCTCCTCAAGAATACATGCCAGCATGCTAACCAGCGCTCGTCTCCAGGCCATGGAAGACCAACCTGTTCACCAGTTTCCAGGTGTCTGACAACGCATCCATTACGTTCAGAATTGGGGGAGATCCAGACCAGTGTGTTTGTTTAAAGTTAAGGCTCTGGGAGGCCTTGTGACCTGGCAAGACCCTACACTCGAAAGCAAACCATGCGAAGGAGAAGTGGGAGGCAGGACGCTGTGGGCTGTGGGGCTGCAAGGATGGGTTGGCCAGTGGCCCTCCTCTGGGTCCTGGTCCAGCACGTCTCCACCCACTCCACTACAGCAGCACCTCCCAGGGATGATAGCCACAAATGTCCCCAAACATCGCGGAGTATATCCCCTGGGGTTAGAAGTGTCCCTGGTTGAGAAGCCCTAGACTAGAGGGTGGCTTCCTACAGCAGGCATTGCCTGAACCCACTGTGAACACTCAGGGCTGAGCCATGGGGAGGGACACAGACACAGCCAGTCCATCACAAAAAATGCACGTGGCTGACAGCTGGAACTGGCACACCCCTTCCTGCAGCAGGAGGAGATGGGCACACCCAGGAATGAGGTCAGAGGCTCAGGGCCATGGGGTCCACTGGGGAGATGGCAGCTGAACAGGAAAGCCATCCTCCTGAGCTCACAGCTCTGGGACCCCTACTCCCCTGGCCCTCTCTGTGGGGCCCTCCGTCCTCTGCCCACAGGGCTACCTGGTGTGGCTGGCACCCCCAGGATCTCCTGGCAGAGCCGGCCGTACTCCTCAGCCGGGTCGACACCCGTCTGCGTGTGCAGCGCCTGGTCCACCTTGGCCAGGACGATTTGGCGCAGATTGAAGAGACCTGCAGGGGAGGCACGAGGTTCGGGAGGAGGCAGAGGGCCGCCTCTGCCCCACCCCCAGCTCTGCCCACCCCCAGCAGCTGCGCTCCAGCTCAGCTGGCACCCTAAGTCTCGTCGTGGTGGACAGGCTGCAGTGTGGAGCCCCAGCACTGCCCCATCCCAGCCTCGGCACCCTCTGTCCCGGGCCCCAGCGCACCAGTGTTGGCCTGGCGGGAGGCGATGAGCCTGTCAAGCAGGTCTGGGGGCAAGGCGTCACCCGTGCGGTAGTGCTGGGACATGCGCAGCAGGGGCTCGCGCTCCCACACCCAGTTCTCCAGCATCTGCGAGGGCGCCTCCACGAAGTCCCGCTCCACATGTGTGCCGCTGAACATGGCAAACTCCGCCTGCACGGGGTGAAAGGCACAGGTCTCGGTTACCCAGCCCACCCAACCTGCAGCCTTAGGCAGTCCCGAGCCACAGGCAACATGTAGTTATGGGGACAGAGAACGCTCCCCAGTGGTGGCTGGCCACCTCATTCCAGTGGAGGATATACCTGCCTAGTCCCCGTCAGCCACCCCCACGTGCACCCAATGACATGGCTGAAACTCTCAGAAAGCTCCGAACCCCAAAGCAATAGACTGTGCACAGCCAAGTCCTGGGGAGCTGACATCTGTTCCCAGGGAGCAGGTCTGGTCCATCAGGCACCACGCACCTGAACCCACCACTCCTGCCCCAGCTCCAAGGCCACTCTCGGCACCAGGAGAAAGGGTGTGACTGTGTGCTTGGACAACTGAATGCATGAGGAACAGGGTCCTACAGCAGGGACACTGGGCTGGGGGTCTGAAAGCCTGGAGTGAATCCTTTGGCTACCACGTTCTGGCTGAGTTGCCTTGTGAGGGAGATGCCCTTGGCACATGGGCTTCAATGTGAGGCCCCTGCCACACCTGCCCCTAACGGTCCAGAGGAGCCTGTGGCCAGGCACCGTTTTCTCCTCATCCACCCCTGCTGCTCTGTACAGATATCCCTCTCCTGGTGAGAGCAGAGGCCCCAGCAGGCAGGGGCCAGGCCTGCGCCGGGAGCCCACCTGGGAGCAGAGCTGGTGCATGACGTGGCCAAACTCGTGGAAGTAGGTCTCCACCTCGTCGTGCTGCAGCAGGGAGGGGGCGTCTGGCGTGGGCTTGGTGAAGTTGGCCACCATGGCTGCAATGGAGATCTGGCGGGTCCCATCCGGCCTCAGGCACCCCGGCTGCAGGCCGAAGCAGGCCGCATGTCCGTATTTCCCCTCCCTGGGGGAAGAGCCAGTCAGGGGGCCTCTCCAGGCACCCGCCCCATCAGGCTGCCCTCCGTGCCCTGGCACCCCATGCCCTCTCTAAGCGCTGTTTCCCACCTGCTGACACGGACACACCACATGGTCCTAAGTGAGGCGTCAGCACAGGAGCCTGTGTTCAACGGCAGGCGAGTGGGCGTGCCCCAGAAAACAGACTGCAGCTCACGTCCCATCACCCCACAAGGCCCTGGCCTGGCAGCAGTAAACTCATGATAGACATGGTTTCCTGAGCAGCCCCTCGCTGCCCCATGGGGTTGGCGATGCCCTCCCCCATCCCACGAAGAGAGAGCGGAGGCTACAGGGCGGTGCTGCCAGGCTGGCTGTGGCCCCGCTCACTCACACGCACCGTGGGTACAGGTCCAGGTAGAACTTGCCGATCAGCTGCCCGGAGGCAGAGTCCCGCACGGCGTACAGCGCCACGTCCTCGTGCCACACAGCGGCGCCTTCCTCGCAGTGGAAGGTGAGCCCCAGCAGCTCCTGGTAGACGGCCAGCAGCCCCTGGGTGACGGTCTGCATGGGGAAGTACTCCCTCAGCAGGTTCTGGTCCACGCTGTAGCGTGTCTCCTCCACCTGGTTCATGTAGTAGCGCATGTCCCAGGCATGGATACACGTGTCAAACGGCAGCCCCCGCCGCTCACACTCGGCCTTCTTCAGTTCCAGGATCACAGCGCGCTCCTGCTCCCCCAGTGGCTTCAGCTTCTGGGCCAGCTCGTCTGAGTAGCAGGAGAGAAGTTACCGCCCATGTGGGCACTGCCATGTGGCTCAAGTGCACCCTTGGCAAACCTCAAGACCAGCCCTAGGCTCACCATCACCATGGACTCTGTCCCCTGGGGCTGTGGGTTGACTGAGAAAGCCACGGGGTCACTGATGAGGCATGAGCTCAGCTCCATGGGGCCATGGCTGTCCCATGGGGCTGTGACAGAGTGGGCTCTGGGACTCGGGGTCCTGCTCTGTAACCAGTGGCAGTGCCACGTTCCTGGAGGACCGGCCCAGGGTTGGACCTGATGAAAGCATCTCATCTCCGCACTCGAGCTTCACAGACACCAGGAGAGCAGGCCCCTCGCACTGAAAATGAGGCTGAGGCCTGAACATGGACCAGGCCTGATGCCACAACCCTGGTACTGGCCCTCAGCATTAGGCCCCAGAGAGTGGTGGAAGAGTTGGCGGGCACAGTAACCTCCATTTCTCGGGTGAATGGAAGCAGGCTTGCCATGGGACTGCACTGCTGAAAACAGCCCGTTTCACGCTGCAGGTGCTTTCCCACGACAGGACCATGCTCTGTGAGGCCACGTCACGGCCAGGAAGCGCTCTCAGCCCCTCAGGCCACAGGGTAGGTGAAGGGAGCCGAGGTAGGGGGCATACCTAGAAAGGTGGCCACCACCTGGCTGGTCTTGGCCATGTTCATCTCCAGGACGTAGTCGGCGTGTGTGCTGAACCCCAGCAGGCTAGACTTTTGGGCCCGCAGTGCCACCAGCTCCTTGAGGATGGTGCAGTTCTCCTGGTTCACAAAGAGGCCCCTGGTGGCAAAGGGGTCTCCATTCTCCCTGCCCTGGGGCTCCGTGGCCAGGATACATGGACTCCCCAAGAGCCCAAGGGTTACTGGGGCCGGCAAGGAAGGGGCCAGGGAGGGGCCTCGCCTGAGAAAGAGCGATTAAGGCACAAGAGGGGCCGGTGAGGAAGGAGACGATTCAGACAGGCATGGAGACCGTGTTCTTGTCCAAGCCCTGGCAGCACAGCAGTAAAGTGCTTGGCTGCTAACCAAAAGGTTGGCAGTTCAAACCCACCCAGTGGCTCCATAGGGAAGACCTGGCGATCTGCTCCAATAAAGACTACAGCCTAGGAAACCCTAAGGGGCAGTTCCACTCTGTCATGGACCTGCCGTGAGTCGGAATTGACAGTACCCCACAACAGCCAAGTAGCTGCAGGACTGGCTAGGAAGGTGGACCACACTTAGCTCTGTGTGTCCCCGGGGGCAAAGGCCATCTGAAAGGGCCGGCCTGGGCTTGTGGAAGGGGGCCTGGGCCGCTCACTGACTGGCCAGGCGACTGCGGGTAAAGTCCACACTCCCGGGTGGGCCCCTCCCCCACACACCCATGGTGGGGCTCTCACCTCCTTGCACCGGCAGTTGAAGGCCTCCTCCACCTTCCTCCTGGTCTCGGGCACATAGCATTTCTTTAGAAGGGGAAAGTAGTGGGGGTACTTGAGGGTGACCTTCAACTTGTTGTCCTCAGTCTTTTCCAGGGAGTTGAGAAAGTCCTCAGGGAGCCCTCCTAGGAGAACAAAATCAGGACCTGCTGCCAATGAGTAGACCCCAATTCATGGCAATTCATGTGTGCAGAGGAGGCCCCCCCCAACAGGGTCAGTCTCAAGGCTGTGACCTACAGAAGATTACCAGGCCTGTCTTCTAAGGTGCCTCCGAGGGGGTTCAAACTGCCAACCTTTCAGTTAGTAGCTGAACACTGAAACATCTGCACCATGCAGGGATATGAACGACAGAGGGTGCACGCATGCATGCGTGTGCACACGTGCACACACACACAGGAGCCTTGGCAGTACAGCCTTGGTAGGGCTTGGCTGCTAACCAAAAGGTCGGCAGTTTGAACCCACTCAGCAGTTCCTTGGGAGAAAGACCTGGCAATCTGCTCCCATAAAGACTGACAACAGCCTTGGAAACCCTGTGGGGCAGTTCCACTCTGTCCTCTAGGGGCGCTGTGGTTCAGGATCGTTAGTACACACCACCCTGCCCCTCCACACACACACTCAGAGAGAGAAAATGATAAAATGAATGGATCAAAGTGGAAACAATGGATAAAGGGACTCAAGTTCCCTGCACTATTTCTGCAAATGTAAAAAATTATGTTAAAAAAAGAAATGCAAGAAAAACATACCTTTTACCTTGCTGGGTGAGAGTTTATTTACATAACAACAAGTATTCCTGAGAAGTTAACTTGGTCAATACAAAAATGGTTTAAATGAAGCAGGAATAAAGGGGACAGCCTAGATGTTGCTTCAGTGTCAGAGATGTAGTAGCTGCCTCAATACCCGTAGTAGGTAATTCCTATTGCTAAGTGCCAATGAGTTGCCCCGAGACATGCAACCCTGAGCCTTCAAAGTCCCACAGCTCCGGCCCAGCCCTGTGCTCCACTTCCTGAGTTGTCCTCTGACAGAGGCTGAGTCTTGGCTCGACAGAGCACGTCCCTCCCCAAGGAAGGCTCTAGGAAGGCAGGTTCTGGAGTGCTGTGAGGCCTCCCCGTGGAGGAAGCATCGCCCCCTGGGTGCGTACACAGACACGCCTCCCCGATCTGACGGCACCAGCCCCAGAGGGTCTCCCAGAGCTGGTGAGAGTCGGCTGGTGCTCCCTGGGCGCCCGCTCCCCACATACCGAGCTCCTCCCGTGTGAAGGGCAGGAAGGTGGTGTCCTCGTTGAGGTTCTTGTTGAAGTCGATGCACAGTAGGCTCAACTGCTTCTTGATGCTCTTGATTTTCTGGAGGAAAAGAAGCCCCCGCATGAGTGGCTCGGGAGACATCCTCCCCTCCAAGTCCGACTGGGGCCAAGGCTTCCTCCTGACACCCAGGCAGGGAGAAGGGACGACCAACAGGGAAAGAGAAGAGAAGGGAGATGGAGACAAGGGAGTGCAGGCTGCAAACGTGGTTGGCACGCTTGTTCCCATGCTCACGTGCCTGCTGTTCCCACTGCTGCGCGGCCTGAGGCCGTCAGGAACCCTCTGTCTGGGCTGCTCCCTCACTGGGCAGGTGGGCCCCAGCCAAACACCTCTGGGTCCTCCTGGTCAGGAATGACACTCAGACTCCAGCGCTCACACTTCCAAGCATGTTTTGTGGATGAGCTCTCACCCTGTCAGGGTCGGTCTGGTTTTAGGAACACCTAAACTCGATCTGAGTCTGGCCAACGGGAAGATGTGCAGGTGCACCAGATGAGGGACTAGCCCTCGGGCGGCTCTTCAACTGTCCCGAGGGTGGGAGCAGTGACCGCCTTTGATGACCACCATTCAGTGCACATGCCCAGCAGGCAGGACTGGCTTTGGCCCGGAACCTTCGGACACCCCAAGGTGGGGCATGATGGAGCAGCACCATGCATCGCTCCCTCAGGAGGCGGGTTAGGGCCAGAGCAGAAGTGCCAATCGGAAGGATGGCGTGGGGGAAGCCTTTCACTGTGCTCGACAACTTCTCAAAGGCCGTGTGGGCTCATCAAGCAGGAGAATCAGCCAGCGTGTGCGGGCCCCTTCAGGGCCATGCCCGGCAGGACCAGATGGGATGCCAAAGGGGGCAGCCTTTGCCTCAGCAAGGCAGAAACCACTGAGCAAGGTTGCTCGGAAGACTTCAGGGAACTGCCAGGGATGCCCAGCAGAAGAGATGGGGTCTGAGTGCACACGGTGTCACCTACTAATCCTGAGACCCTGGGCAAGCCACCCCCCCCCCGGCTCCATTTCTAGCTGGAAAGAGGAAGGCACCACTGTACAAAAGTCCCAGTGAGGACCACCTGAGATGGCGTCTGCAGAGGGCCCGGGGCCCTTCACTTTCTTGGAGGGCCCTCGAGCCCTGGCGGGTCAAGGGAGAAGAGGAGGCAGAGAGAGCGCTGTTTCAGAGACCGTCCTACCCAGGGCACTGGTCCTCAGGAAGTGGAAAGATGCCCTGGGCCAGAGACTCGGCCTTCCCATGGAGTGGCCCAAAGGGAGACGGGCGCAGGGCTGCAAGGAGCCGCCCCACCTGTGAGCCCAGCACTCACTTCCTGGGTTTCCTCGGGCAGGTGCAGCCCGTTCCTCCGCCCGAGCTTGATCAGCCGCTCCAGGTACCGAGCTGCCTCAGGCCTCAGCGTGTCCTTCTCAACTTTTTCCTACAACAAGAAAAGTCAAAACCCTACGTGGACAACAGCAACAACAGCAAACCCAAGGGAGGTGGTGGAGAAAACAAGATTGCTTATATGCAGTTGGTGGGAATGGAAAATGACACGGCTGCCCTGGGAAGCAGTTTGACGGTTTCTTCAAAAACTCAACCCGTGAGTGTTGTGTGACCCGGCAGGCACTCCTGAGCGCTGCACTCAGACACCACCTGTGCAGGGATGCTCAGGCTGTACCTGGACCAGGGGGAGCCCAGGGCTGACACCGCTCCCAGAACAGGTGAGAGGCTCAGCAGCAGCAGGCTTGGCAGGCAGCATCAGTGGCCACGTGCCGGGGATGACACTGACTCCAGGCTGGCCGAGCGTGCCCACCAGGAGAAGCCAGGCCCCAGTGCTTGGGACCCCTTTCTCTCTCCCTCTCCCCACCTCCATCCCCGCTATTTCTTACAACTGAGTGTGCGTCTACAATTGACTCACAATGTCAACAGAAATAAAAAGTCTTTCATCCTTCTGTGGGCCCCCCCGTGCCTGGATGTGGACCTCAGCCAAGTGGCTGCACTTTCCTGAGACCAGTGGCACCAGTGAGTTACAGGTGCTTGTACCCAAGAGGATGGATAAGAGGCACACAGGACCTCCAGGGTCTCTCCTGCTCACCACACCACCACCAGCAGCTGAGGCCACTGTTGCAGAATGAATTGTTCCTCCACTTGTGCTAAAGTCCCGGCCCTAACCTGTGGATGGGACCGTTGTTGGGACATAGGGTTCTTCTCATCTACAGGTGCAGTGGTGTGCTTGGTCTGGTCCTTCCAGCCACGGTCTTTGTGACTCCCACCAAACGACTGGGCAGGACGATACAAATGTGAGGGACAAACAGGTTGTTCATAATGTAAATTAGGTGAATGGCACCCTTGTGGGGGGTGTTGTTAAGTGCCCTCCAGTCGATTCTGACTCACAGAGATTCCATGTACTAAAGAACAAAACACTGCCCTGTCCCGCGACATCCTTAAACCACGGCTGTGCTTGGGCCCATCGCTGCAGCCACGGTGTCAGTCCATCTCAATGAGGGTCTTCTGCTTCTTCACTGACCCTCTTCTTTACCAAGGATGAGTCCTTCTCCAGGGATCAGTCCCTTCTGACAACATGACCAAAGCAGGCGAGATGAAGTCTAGCCATTCTTGCTTCTGTGGAGCGTTCCAGCTGCACCTCCTTCAAGACAGACTTACTCGTTCTTCTATCAGTTCATGGGACATTGAACACTCTTCACAAACACAATTCAAATTTATTAATTCTACTTCTGTCTTCGTTATTCATTGTCCAGCTCTCGTGTGCATCTGAGGCTACTGAAAATGCCATGGCTTGGGTCAGGTGCACCCTGCTCTTCAAAGAGACATCTTTGCCCTTTAACACTTCACAGAAATTTTTTGCAGCAGATTAGCCCAATGCAATACATCAGATTTCTGACTGCTGCTTTCATGGACACTGAATTTGGACAGAAGTAAAATGAAATCCTTGAAAACTTCAATCTTTTCTCTGTTTATCATGATGTTGCTTATTGGTCCAGTTGTGAGGATTATTCTCTTCATGCTAAAGTGTAATCCATCTTCATCAGTAAATGCTTCAAGTCTTTTTCACCCTCAGCAAGCAGGGCTGTGTCATCTGCATATCACAGGTTGTCAATGAGTCTCCCTCCAATCCTGATGCCATGTTCTTCTTCATACAGTCCAGCTTCGAGAATTATCTGCTCAGCATACAGACTTAACAAGTATGGGAAAAGGATACACACCTTTCCTTGCAGTATCCCCTTGTTCTGTTTGAACAATGACCACTTAGTCTATGTACAGGTTCCTTATGAGCACAGCTAAGTGTTCTGGAATTCCGTTCTTCATACAGTTAGGATCCACAGTCGAATGCCTTTATATAGTCAATAAAACACAGGTAACCATCTTTCTGGTATTCTTTGCTTCCAGCTAAGCCCATCTGATATCAGCAATGACATCACTTATGTCACATCCTCTTCTGAATCCGCTTGAGTTCCTGGCAGTTTCCTGCTGCAGTGCAGTGAATTCCTTGGTATGGTTCTTCTAGCCAAAGCCTTTGCGACTCCCACCAGATAAATGGGTGGAACTATGCAAACTTGATGTGTCTGGGACTCACCAGGGGGACTGGACACTTGCTGATAATGTAAATAAGGTACATGACACCCCTGGGGTGAGACCATGGAAGTAAAGTACATGGAACCCTAATGTGGGATTGGTTAGTTTTGTCATTCTGCTGAGCTTAAAATGAGCCCTCCTATAGGCAGAAAGGGACATCTCACTGCCATGGAAAGAGAAGAGGTGGAGGTGGGCTGGAGCACACCCTTGGCCCCGAGACCCCTGCACTGGACCTCCTTGGCTGAGATGGCTGGCAGAGATGGCCGGCGCAGAGATGACTGGCAGTGGAGGAACCAAGAGGCACGAGACAGAGGGACAGGCTTGCTGGCCACAGAGCGAAAAAGCTAAGTGCCTTTGGGTAGGAGGCTTGCTGGTGGAGTGATTAATGATATTGCTCGATAATTTCCACATTCTGTTAGATCACATTTCTTTGGAATGGGCACAAATATCGATCTCTTCCAGTCAGTTGGGTAGGTGGCTGGCTGTCTTCCAAATTTCTTGGCATAAACAAGTGAGCACCTCCAGGGCCATGTCTGCTTGTTGAAATATTTCAATGGGGTGCACCTATCGGCAGAGCTAAAAGAGCTTTGTAACACTTGCCTGAGTAGCAGGGTGGAGGCCAGGCCAAGAGGCCATGGACAAGAGAGGTGTGCCCGAGGGCACAGCAGAGGAGAGACTGTCCTGATCAAAGAACGGTGTCCTGAGAACATTCCCAAATCAAAATTCTGTTACTTCCCTAATAAACCCTAAAATCATGAATACCATCTGTGAGTTCTTTGTGGCCAGTGCAATGAATTATCACACCCAGCAGAGAAGCAGTGAGTGCTGTGGGAGGGATGGCTGGTGTCTGAATTGGCAGAAAGACTGGAGGGTGGTGGCATGTCTGGGTTCATAGGAATTAGCCTTGGGCTGCTGATGGTGATTTTCTCTCCCCTTTGTGAAGTTAGAGGAGGTTAGAGGATGCTACCCTCATGCCCTTTTTCATCCATCAATATATGCTGTCATATACTGCATAACCATCTTTAGCAAAATTTTACTTTCATGTGATATTAATATTGTTCAGTAATTTCCAAATGTTGTGGGATCATCTTTCTTTGGAATGGGCACAATAGCGATCTCTTCCAGTCAGTTGACCAGGTGGCTGTCTTCCAAGTTTCTTGGCATAAACAAGTGAGCACCTCCAGGGCTGCATCTGCTCGTTGAAGTATTTCAATGGGTGTCGCATCAGTTCCTGGAGTCTTGTTTTTTGCCGATTCCTTCAGTGCAGCGTAGTCTTCTTCCTTTAGTGTCACTGGCTCTCGATTACACGCTGCCTCCTGAAATGGCTGAACACTGACCATTCTTTTTGGTGTAGCAACTCTGTGCATTCCTTCCACCTTCTTTTGATGCTTCCTGTATTGTTCAGTGTTTTCTCACAGAATCCCTCAATATTGGAACTCAAGGCTTGAATTCTTTCAGTTCTTTCAGCTTAAGAAATGCCTAGAGTGTTCTTATCTTTTGATTTTCTGACTCCAGGTCTTTTCATGTTTCATTAAAATAACTTCACTATGTCTTCTCGAGCCATCCTTCGAAATCTTCTGTTTGGCTCTTTTACTTCATCAATTTCTTCCATCTGCTTCAGCTACTCTCCATTCAAGAGCAAGTTTCCGAGTCTCTTCTGCCATCCATTCTGGTCATCTCCTCCTTTCCTGTCTTTTTAATGAGCTTTTGCTTTTTTCATGTCTGATGTTCTCAATGTCAGCCCACAATTTGTCTAGTTTTCGGTACCTCAAATTTGTTCTTCAGATGGCCTCTAAATTTAGGTGGGATATAATCAAGGTCATATTTTGGCTTGCATGGACTTCTTTTAATTTTCTTCAGATTCAACTTGAATTTGTAAATGAGCAATCGATGGTCCGTTTCATGGTCAGCTCCTGGCCTTATCCTGATGATACTGAGCTTTTCTGTTGTCTCTTTCCACAGGTAGAGTTGGTTTGATTCCTGTGCATTCCATCTGGTGAGGTGCATGTGTATAGGTACTGTTTACATTGTTGAAAAATGACTTATTTGCAACAAATAAGTCATTGGTTCTGTAAAATTTTATCATGTAATGTCCTATATCATTTCTATCAACTAGGCTCTATTTTCCAACTACTGATGCTTCTCCTTGGTTTCCAACTTACACATTTCAATCACCACGCCAAAAACCAAACCCACTACAATAGAGGTGATTCTGACTCAGTGACCCTATAGAATAGACTAGACCTGCTCTATAAGTCTGTAAATCTTTACTGAAGTAAACTGCCTCCTCTTTCTTCTGTGGAGCAATTGGTGGGTTCAAACTGCCAACCTTTTGCTTAGCAGCCAAATTCCTTAGGCACTGCACCATCAGAGCTCCTTATTTCAATCACTAGTAATTATCAATACATCTTGATTGCACATTTGGTCAATTTTAGACTGCAGAAGTTGGAAAAAATCTTCAATTTCTTCATCTTCAGCATTAGTAGTTGGTGGGTAAATTTGAATAATAGTGGTATTTACTGGTCTTCCTTGTAGGTGTATGGGTATTACCTGTGGTACTTAAATTTTTATGTCAACTTGGCTAGGCCTGGTTGAGTGGCTGGGCTGCTGGTGGTAGTTATTCCCCATGATGAGACTGGCAATCAGCTCCATGATGGGAGCTACCGCAAGCAGCTGAGTAGCTGCCTTTGGGATGTGTTCTGCTTCCTGTATATAAGCAGCAGCCTTGGGGATAGTATCTAGCTCATGGCATTCTTGGACCCTGTGTATAACCGTGTCATTGTTCAGCAGCCTGCCATGCTCTGCTGACCTTGAGACTTACAATGGATTTAACTTTTATTTGTCAACCTTGGGCTTGTCAGCCTCAGCAGCCAGTAGCTGTCTGAGTGAAGAAACGCCTCTAGCTCCAGTGGGCCAGGAGCAGGAGGCAGAGCTGAAGCCCAAGGTCGAGGGGCTTTCACCCAGCCCCTAGAGCCTGGCACTTTGAACTGGGACTTAAAGCCTCCAAACTATAAGAGAATAAACTCTTGTTTGTTAAGACCATCCCGTTTGTGGTATATTCTTATCAGAGCGGCATTAGGTAACCAGAACATTATCTTATCACTGACAGCAATGTACTTCAGGAGAGATCTTGAAATGCTCTTTCTGACGACAAATGTGACACATCATTGCTCTTCAATTTGTCATTGCTGGCATAGAAGACCATATAACAATATGACCAAAATGGGCAATACCAGTCCACTTCAGCTCACTAATGCCTATGATACCGATTTTCATGCATTCCATTTCATTTTTGACAACTTCCAATTTTCTTAGATTCACATTTTGTACTTTACACGTTTCGATTATCAATGCACATGTGCAGCTGCTTCTTATCATTCTGAGTTGTGCCATATCAGCAAATAAAGGTCCCAAGAGCTTTACTCAATCCACGTCATTAAGGTCGACTCTACTTTGAGGAGGCGGCTCTTCCCCAGTCGTATTTTGAGTGCCATCCAATGTGAGGGGCTCTTCTTCTGTAACTACATGAGACAATGTTTCATTGCTATTCTAAGGTTTTCAGTTGTCAATTTTTTCAGAAGTGGACCTGGCCAAGTCCTTCTTCCTAGTCTGGAAGCTCCACTGAAATGTGTCCACCATGGGTGACCCTGCTGGTATTTGAAATTCCTGTGACATAGCTTCCAACATCACAGCAAAACAGAAGCCAACATAGTATGACAAACTGCCAAACGAGTGGTGGCTTGTGGGAGTGGGACCATAGAAATACGGTATATGGAACCCTAACACGGGGACTGGTCAGTTTTGTCATCCGCTAGGCTTAAAATGACCCATCCCAGAGGTCGATCTCACTACTATCGGGAAGGAAGAGCCAAGAATGAAGCATAGCCTTTGGACCCAAAATCCTGGCACTGAACCTCCTGGACCCAGGAGACAGAGCTGTGACACCAGAGGCGGTGAGCAGCAGTGATGGAGAAATGGCGGCAGCAGAGCTGAGGCGTGAACCTGACACAGCAGGGGCTTTCCGGTCCACAGAGCGAGAAAGCTGAGTGCCTTCAGGCAGGAGGCTTGATGGCGGAGTAGGAGGCCTCTGGGCATTTATCTGCGGAGCTAGAAGAGCTTTGTAATACATGTTGGAGTGGGTTAGAGGGCAGGCCCAGGGCCAGAGAGAAACCGTCAGATACAGGTGAGGGGAGGTTGCCCTGATGGAAGAACTGTATCCTAGGTTGTTCTTAATCATGATTTGTAACCTGTTATTTCCCTAATAAGCCCCATAATCATAAGTATTGTCTATGAATTCTGTGTGGCCAGTGCAATGAACTACTGAACTCAACAGAGAAGAGAATGTTGTGGAAGGGACATCTGGTGTCAGAATTGGTTTAAAACAAAAAAAAAGTTAAGACGGTAGCAGCATGTCTGACCTTTGCCTTGCAGGAATCAGCCTTGGGTTACTGGGATCCACCCCACTCCCCAAGGCAGAGAAGGTCAGGTGGCTCCCCAGCCCCATCTGCAGGTGGTAACAGAGCAGGATGGGCCCCAAACCTAGGCCCTCCTGAGCTATAAAAGGAGCCGATCGGACACAGAGACCCGTGAGGGGAAGACAGGCGTCACCTGAGGATCATGTACAAGCTGAGGAGCACCCAGGAGCAGCAGCAGACCCCAGACACCAGGAGAGAGGCCCACACGATCCCCATGCTAGAGCTGACGTGGGTGCCCAGCCTGCGGGACTGTCTTCTAAAGCCCCCCTCCCTGTGCAGTGTCTGTGTCGTGGCGACATAGGTGAGGGCGTGTGGGACGAGCCCTGTCCCCGAGCGACCCAGGACGGGTGCATCATGAGGCGGTGGATGTGTGAGAGGCCTGAGCAGCCTTAAGTATGTGATACTCTCTGAAGAGGTTTTATCAGTGGGCTCAGCGGCTGGCCTCGTGCCGTGGGTCCTCCCCACCCGCATGTGCTAGCCGCGCCCTGCACGCGCCCTCACCTGCAGCCAGACAATCCTCTGGTACACGTCTTGCCGCATGCTCATCTCCACGTCAAACTCTGACAGCTTCTTGTCTGCCTCCGTGCTGGCAGTTCGGATGTCTTTGGATGGGGAGACGTGCTGGGGGAAATCAAGGATATTCCTCTGAACTGAAACATGAAACAGGCAAGATAATGAGACAGGCATGAAAATGGGCCCTGGATGGAGCCTGGCTAGAGCCCACCAAAGCCCCAATAACCTGTCTATTCGTCTGGTGAATGATCTTGGGCACTGGGACATGGGAGTGGAAAGAGCAGCCTACACCTTCCAGGTTGCAAGCGGCCACATGAATGAAGGAACGTCCCAGAGAAAGACTGCTGAGAGAGGCTGGTGGCACTCAACTACAGAATGAGTGCCATGCTGGGCACGGTTTGCTTTTAAACTTACAAGCTTGTTTATCATTCACAGAGCAGCCAAGCTTTCTGTTTAATGGAGGGCTATAAAAGCATTCCACCATTCGTCTGTCAGTGTGCTGTACTGTGGTTTGCATGTGAGTCTGGGAGCTATGCCACCAGTCCTTCAAATACCAGGAGGATCACCCATGGTGGGGAGGTTCAGTTGTCTCTTCCCATTTTGAGTCAGTGCCCCATTAGCAAACGAAAAGTCCCAAAAACTACTCCTCCCACATCACTGTCAACTCTACTTTGAGGGGCAGTTCCTCCCCAGTCCTATTCTGAGCGTCTTCCGACCTGAGGGCCTCATCTTCCAGCTCGGTTCCATGCTATCTGTAAGGATTTCAGTGGCCAGTTTTTTCTCAGACGTGGACCTGGCCACACCCTCCTTCCTAGTCTGTCTGAGTCTGGAAGCTCCGCTCAACAGTGGGAGTTACTGCTCATGACACCTCATGAACAAGGAAGGAGAGGCACCCTACTAGACAGGTGGAGAAACTGAGGCTCAGGCTGACAACCCCGCCTGAGCCGTGCCAAGCACAGGAGGCAGGCCGGGACTCAGCTTCCTGGACTGTAGCCTTGTGCTGGGCGTGCACACACCCTGCTCCACGTGAGAATGAACCCGGCAGCCTGGACAGTGTGGCCCAGGAGCAGTGCACTACCACACCAAGTCTCAAGGCCATGCAGCCAGGACCCAAGGACGTGTAAAGGTTCTCAGAACACAGTTCTGCTAGAGATTTGGGGGGGCCTTCCTTGCTTAGAGTTCTCCAAGGCAAGATGTCTCTCAGCCTCGTGTACCCCAGTTCCTGTGGAAAGAACTGTCATCGATGGCTTCCCCATGAGAGAAGGCACACAGAGAGAAGGATGCAGCTGAGGGGATCCAGGTCTACCAGAACCACAGACGGGGCCTGCTCTGGAGACAGGCCTTCTGTAGATGTAATTCATTAGAGTGAGGTCATTCTGGATGTGGGGTGGGCCCTAATCCCATGCCTGGTGTCGCTGGTAAGTAGAGGGAAATGTGGAAAGAGACACAGAGAGGGACGGCAGCCAAGTGAAGACGAGGCACAGGTTGGGGTGATACAGGGAACCTCTAGAAGCTGAAAAGGCGAGGACAGATGCACCCCGGACCCTTCTGAGGAGTGCGGCCTGGCTCACACCTTTCAGACTTTCGGCACCCGGAACTGAGGGAACAAGCTTCCGCAGTTTGAAGCTGCCCAGTTTGTGGCATTTTGCTCGGCAGCCTCAGGACACTCTGACAGGGGTGCTGAGGTCACCTGACGGCACTGGTTAAAAGCAGTGTGTGTGTGTGGGGGGGGGGTGACAGGAGAGAACAGAAAGTGGCCAAGGTCAGCAGTTGAGAGAAAATAAATATTCTCCAGGGAAGGAGGTCAAAAAGGATGTGGGGCTGGGGCTGAAACCGGAGCTCACACGTAGGTGTGAAGATTTAGACAGAGTTTCCCAGTCCAGGTTCTCAGCTGTCGCAACTGATCAGGCCCCGAGTGCTAGAGCCAAGAAAAGGCACAAGCTGCAGGCAGGGCACTGACATTTCTTGGACCCCTCTCAGCAACGGCCACCTGCCAGGCTCCTCTACACGGACCACTCACTGCATTTGCAATGGGGAGGAGGTGGATCACCTTCAATTCCAACAGTCTAGAAAGCCGAGTCCCCCCCAGTCAGGGCCGAGTATCTAGAAACTACTGGACCTTGAAAACCCTATTGATTGACCACAATGGTCTGATGTGCAGCCGATCGCGAGGATGGCACAGGACCGCACAGCTTTCATTCCATGCGGCGGGAGGTTGCCGGGCCTCAGGGCCAACTCAACAGCAGCTGACAGCAGTCTCTAGCAGCAGCTAGACACAGTGAGGGGCGGGGCCTGAGCCAGCCCCATGCGGCTCCGATGCTAAGCCCTTCCACCAGGTCACACGGCTTCCCCTGGTGCCAGAAGCCATTGAGCCACAGGCAGCTCCCAGCCTGGACTTACCTGTGTAGGACACCTCTACGTCAGCCAGGGCCTTGAGTGTACTCTCGTATGACACGTCTTCAAACGCCTGGGCGCCCACCTGGTCGTACACGTGCTTTGTCTTCTCCATGAGCTCCCTGGTGAGCTCCTGGATCTGCTGGGCACTCAGGTCCCAGCGCAGGTAGTTCACTACAGAGCACGGAGATGCCACATCCAGGACGTCACCTGCACAGTCTGCACAGAGGGGAAGAGAGAAGGCCTCATGGGTCTGCCCCAAGGCCAAAATTAGGGCCACAGGAAAGGGGGATCGGGGAGCCACTCATTCTGCCACCCAGATTAGTAAGGCCAGGGCTTTGTGGGGGGCACACAGGTCACTCCTCTAGAGGTGGGGGTCTCACCTGGGGCGACTCTACCTCGGAGGACACTGGGTGATGTCTGGAGATATTTATGATTGTCACAACTGGGGGAGGATGTTACTGGTGTCGTCAATGGGTTAGCCAGTATAAACCAGGGTGACCCTCCAGCTTCTGTGATCCCCCTCCTCTCCTTCCCCACACTCAGCTTGTGGATTTAAATGTGTACAGCCTCCTAGGATGTCAGTAGTTCAGATTATGGGGACTGTGTGGTGCAGTGACTTACTTATTATGACCCTTTTAGTCACAGTCTTTGTAACGTGCAACAAATGACCGGGTGGGACTATACAAACGTGAGGTGCTTGTGACCCACCAAGGGGCTGGATAGCTTGCTAACAATGTAAATAGGTGCATGGCACTCTTAGGGGGTGTGGGACCATGCAAATAAGGTGTATGAAACCCTATACAAGGGATTGGTAAGTTCTACCATCCCACTAGGCTTAACACGAACCATCCCAGAGGCAGCAAGTGGGAGCCTGACTACCACCAAGAAGAGAAGGGAACAGAGCATGTCCTTTGGACCTAGGGTGCCTGCACTGGAAGCCTCCTTGACCCAGGAGACAGAGAGAGAGAGCTGTAACGCTGGAGAGACGAGTGATGGTGAGAAGCGACAACAGCAGAGGCAACGGAGCCAGGAGACAGGCAGGAGATGCCACGATGGGTTTCTGGACCCATGGATCAAGAAAGCTGAGCATCAACTGGCATAACATACTACACAAAAAGATTGTTCTACATCCTACTTTGGTGAGTAGCGACTGGAGCTTTAAAAGCTTGCAAGCAGCCAGCTAAATGCAACGAGTCTCTCCTTGTTCAGAGCAAAGAAAAATGAAGAAAACCAAAGACACATGGAATAACTAGTCCAGGGGACTAGATACCTTGCAAAATCCTCAGCCTATATGACCATGAGACCAGGAGAACTATATGGTGCCCAGACAGGGATCAGTGCAGGAGATCCCGGATAGAGTAGGAGAACATTGTGTAACAAAACTCAAAGTCATTAAAAGACCAGGTTTGCTGGTCTGATAGAGCCTGGTGAGACCCCTTAGACTATGCCCCTAGTTACCCTTAAGTTCTGGAAGTGAACTCACTCCTGCGGTTTCCAGCCGAACGACAGACAGACATATGGGGTGAACATTTACATCTGGTAGATACACTCCTTGAAGCAATCAATCATGGGAGAAAAGAAGGTCAGTGTTTGCAGAGAGATAGCTTGGGGGACAGGAGTGCACAGGAGGGAAGGACACAGGGAAGAGGTAACTATGGGGAGGAAGAGGGAAGAGCTGTTACACTGTGGGGTATTGTAGTTAATGCCATGAAACAAATGTGCATGAACTGCTGTGTTGTTGTTGCTGTCGTTAGGTGCCATCAAGTTGCCTCCAAGTTACAGTGACCCTAAGTACTCATAGTGACAGAATGAAACACTGCCTAGTCCTGTGCCAACCTCACAATCCTTGCTATACCTGAGCCCATCGTTGCAGCCACTGTATCAATCCATCTTGTTGAGGGCCTTCCCTTTCTTCTCTGTCCCTTCACTTTACCAAGCATATTTTTCTCCAGGGAATGATCCCTTCTAATGTGACCAAAGTAGGTGAGACAAAGCCTGGCCATTCTCGCTTCCAAGGAACATTCCAGCTGCACTTCTTCCAGGACAGATTTGTTAGTTCTTTTGGCATCCATGGTACTTTCAGTATTCTTCTCCAACATCACAACTCAAAAGCATCAACTCTTCTCTGGTCTTCCTTGTTCGTTGTCCAGCTCTCACATGCACATGAGACGACTGAAAATACCATGGTTTGGGTTAGGCGCATTTTAATCTTCAAGGAGGTATTTTTGCTCTTCAGCACTTTAAGGAGGTCTTTTGCAGCAGATTTTCCCAGTGTTATACGGGAGCTCTGGTGGTGTGCCTAAGGCATTTGACTGCTAACCAGAAGGCTAACAGTTCAAACCCACTAGCTACTCCTCAGAAGGAAGACTGGGCAATCTACTTCTATAGAGATACCACCTTGGAAACACAAGGAGGGGTTAGTATGAGTCAGAAATGACTTGACGGCAGTGAGTTTGGGTTTCTATTTTGGTAAACGTCATCTGATGTCTTGACTACTGCTTCCATTGGTGTTGATTGTGGAACCAAGTAATATGCCATCTTTGACAATTTCAATCTTTTCTCCATTTATTGTGATGCTGCTTATTGGCCCAGTTGTGAGGATTCTCATTTTATGTTGAAATGTAATCCATACCGAAGACTGAATGAAGTCTTTAATCTTTATCAGTAAGTGCTTTAAGTCATCCTCACTTTCAACAAGCAAAGTTATGTCATCTGCGTAAACAGGTTGTTAATGAATCTTCCTCCAATCCTGAAGCCAGGTTCTTCTTCATGTAGTCCGGCTTCTCGGATTATTTCCTCAGCATACAGATTGAACAAGTGTGGATAACGGATATAACCCTGATGCACTCCGTTTCTGATTTTAAACCATGCAGTATCTCCTTGTTCTGTTCGAACGACAGTCTCCTGGTCTATGTACAGATTCCTCAAGAGCACAATCAAGTGTTCTGGAATTCTCATTCTTCTCAATGTTATTCATAATTTGTTATGATCCACACAATCAAATGCTTTTGCATAGTCAACAAAACCCAACTAAACATCTTTCTGGTATTCTTTAATTTGAGCCAAGCTCCCTCATTCCACTTCCTCTTCTGAATGATGAAATGATATCCCTCATTCCACTTCCTCTTCTGAATCCAGCTTGCACTTCTGGAAGTTCTCTGTCAATATACTGCTGCAACCATTTTTGCATTACCTTCAGTAAGATTTTACTTGTGTGTGTGACATTAATGATATGGTTCAATGATTTCCACATTTTGTGGGATCACCTTTCTTTGGAATGGGTACAAATACGGATCTCTTCCAGTCAGTTAGCCAGGTAGCTGTCTTCCAAAGTTCTTGGCACTGCTGAGTGAGTGCCTCCAGCATGGCATCCACTTGTTGAAACATCTCAATGGGTAATCAATTCCTCCAGCCTTATTTTTTGCCAATTCCTTTAGTGCAGCTTCGACTTCTTCCTTCAATACCATTGGCTCTTAATTATATGCGACCTCATGAAATGGATGAACAATAACCAATTCTTTTTGGTACAGTGACTCTGTGTATTCCATCTTCTTTTGCTGTTTCCTGCAAAAGAATAAAATATCATTCAATATTTTGCCCATAGAATCTTCCAATATTGCAACTCGAGGCCTGAATATTTTCTTCAGCTCTTTCAGCTTGAGAAATGCTGAGCGTGTTCTTCCCTTTTGGTTTTCTAACTGCAGGTCTTTGGACATTTCATTATAATAATTGACTTTGTCTTCTTGAGCTGTTCTTTGAAATCTGTTCAGCTCTCTCATCTGGTCATTTCTTCCATTTGCTTTAGCTACTCTCTGTACAAGGGCAAGTTTCAGAGTCTCTTCTGACATCCACTTTGGTCTTTTCTTCCTCTCCTGTCTTTTTAGTGACCTTTTGCTTTCTTCATGGATGATACTCTTTTCTTTTTTAATTTATATATATATATTTTTATTGTGATTTGGGTGAAATTTTACAAAGCAAATTCACTTTCCATACAGCAGTTCACATACACTTTGTCTCATGACATTGATCACAATTTACCACAATGCAACAGCTCCCCTCCCACTTTCTCCCAATAATTACCTCTTCCCTGTGTCCATCCCTCCATACACTCCTGCCCCCTGAGCTGTCTCCCGGTGCATAAGCAGCCCTTCTTTCTCCCATGATTGTTCTCTCCAAGGATTGTATCTACCTTAAGTAAATGTTCAACTCATATGCCTGTCTTTTGCTCGGCTGTGTGGGTTCAATTCCGGACCTGAAAGGCAACTAGGGGCCATAGTCTCAATGGTTCCACCAGGCTCTATTGGACCAGCAAACCTGGCCCTCCCCTTTTTTTCCCATGAATGATATTCTTGATGTCATCCCACAGTTCCTCTGGTGTTCGGTCGCTGGTGTTCAATGCATCAAAGTTTGGCTCTCGTGGACTTATTTTAATGATCTTCAGCTTCAACTTGAACTTGCATATGAACAACTGATGGTCTGTTCCACAGTCAGCTCTTGGTCTTGTTTCGGCTGAAGATATTGAGCTTTTCCATCACTTCTTGCCACTGATATAGTCTATCTGATTCCTGTGTACTCCATCTGACAAAGTCCATGTGTATAGCTGTTGTTTGTGTTGCTGAAAAAAGGTATTCGCAAAAAAAAGAAAAAAGTATTTGCAATGAATAAGTTATTGGTCTTGCAAAATTCTATCACGTGATCTCCAGAGTTAATTCTGTCACTAAGGTTGTATTTTCCACCTACGGGTGATTCTTCATTTCCAACTTTTGCATTCCAATCACCAGTGATAATCAACACATCTTGATTGCATGTTTGGTCAATTTCAGACTGCAAAAGTTGGCAAAAATCTTCAATTTTCTCATCTTTGGCTTTGGCAGTTAGTGCATAAATTTGAGTAACAGTAGTATTAACGGGTCTTCCTTATGTTGTTGTTGAGTCTCTGACTCATAGTGACCCCTCCTTGGGTTTCCAAGGCAGTATCTCTACAGAAGTAGATTGACCAATCTTCCTTTCAAGGAGTGGCTGGTAGGCATATGGATATTATCCTATCACTCACAGCATCGTACTTCAGGATAGATCTTGAAACATTCTTTGTGACGATGAATGCCACACCATTCCTCTTCAATTTGTCATTCCTAGCACAATAGATCATATGGTTGTCTTGATTCAAAATGGCCAGTCCTGGTCCATTTCAGCTCACTAATGCCTAGGATATTGAT